CTTAAGGTCAATCACCTGACCTAACAGACAATCCTCATTGGACGAGCAACTCATGCATTATTAATGCAATTTTCAATGAATATCTTACTTGTGTAAGGAATTTTGTTCTGGCTTGTACTATGGCCGCGGCTGCGGTATCACCTTCGTCAGCCATCTCCTCAGCGGCTTTGGTTCTCATCGATGATAGCTTGATTCCCTGCACGTAAAACATAGTCCGTCGGGAAATGGTCGATGGGAAATATTATCCTTCACGAGTTTATAACATTTCTTGTGATTGGAGGATTAAAACAATGCTTATTGTTCCCTCGTTCTTAAGTTCTATTGTTTTCTTTTATTCAACAAATAGCTAGTAACAGGGTTCGTGATACATTTTAAGATAGCAAAAGAACTTTTTAAGAACAAAAATGCGATTTTCAAGGAGTATCTTTGAAGATATTTTTCTATGCTTGCAGACGTTTCAAATGGAGAAAAAAAGTAGCCACATTTTAATTATTCATAGGAAGCCACATTTTATTTATTTATTTATTTTATTTATCAAAGAGATTGTATATACTATATTTATTTATAATTTATTCTTTCTTACATTTGTAATACAGTGGCCTGCCATTGAATAGTCTTAACTAATTGCAGGTCACTGGAAACTTATTTATACTTGATCAAAATGAGAATAAAGTGTGTGTAAAGTGTGTAATAAAAAAAACTAGCAAACANGTTTGTATTCTAGTATTCTAGTGAAAGAGTTGCAGTCTTCGCACTTTTTATAGCCTCTAAAAAATCTCCCTAGAACCCGTATTTTATGTTTTATTTTCGTTCTATAAACGGCACAGCTACTTTTATTGTTTCAAAGAAAAAGCAAAAACAGCTTAGAATTTTTTTTCTAAGGCAGGCTTCAGTTCCCACCATGCTTTACCATACAAAATGGCGTCCCTCTATTGCCTATCCAAGCATACCTAGAGTAACGAAGGCATGAGCCTTAACAGTATTTGATAGTTGACTCTTCTGGATGCTCTGAGGAGTACCAGGCGTACTGAGACTGGCTTCTGAGATCAACATTGACTCGACAAGCAGGAACAGACGTTCTGTGGTTCGTCCTGGAGCGAGCTGAAATTAGAGCAAGGATTTATGGGTAATGTTAACTCGCTACAAGATGACTCTTAACGCAAAAACTCGCTAACAACTCGTCTCATGTATAAGTGTGTTGTAATTCAAAAACACAAAGCTAGCATACATGCATAATGCTATTAAACTCTCTTTACAATGGGACTCTTCAAGCAAACTACTACAGTAGTTTGAAAATAACCCTTAAAAGTATTGTCGACCGGGCTTTGAGCACAAAATAAGCTTGCGTAGCCCAAAAACATCGAGAAAAAATCGTCTCTTAAACTGTCGTAGTGGAAACCAGCTATATACTGGTATATATATTACCTGTGCAACTTCACCAACAGTAAACAAATTCTTCACGATAACTTCATCAGTGACTTTTGAAACTAAAAACACGAGAATAGAGTGAGCTAAACCTAACTTTTTTATGACACAAAATATACAAATTTTCATTTTCCGATTTGAGGCAAAGTCTGTATTCCCAGATTTGAAAGCTTAAACTCTAGGTCTTCTTGGAAGACAGGCCTATCCACAAATCGGAGAAGATTCAAATTATTGTAATTTCAACATCTTTTCGTGCTTTCTTTTGTTTTTGGTAAGATCTCTGGGCAAGTGAATCTATTGTCTACTAAATCAGCGGTCGCTCGCTTTCAACAGGAAAAAGGCTTGTGCTAAGTCAATGGTAAACGCTTATGAAAACGGTCTTATAGGTAGGTTTGGTAATATGACTTTAAGCTGCAAAGGACTAGGGTTCATGCAACATTTCCACTACAAATTCCAGTACTTTCCAAGTACTTTTTAAGCACAAAAATGCGATTTTCAAGGTCTATTTTAGAAGATATTCTTTGATGTTTGCGAATGTTTCTAGAGCGATTTTCAAAAATAGCCACATTTCAATCCAAACGGCAAAAAGCAACATGTTAATTTCATTAGACTCAACTAGTTCTCCAGGATTTTAAGCGATTTTTCACATATTCAAGGTCTTTTTAAGTGCCCTTGAAAATGAGTCATTCAATTCCAGGACTTTTCAAGGATTTCAAGGAGTAGCGCGAACCCTGATAAGGACCTATTCTACATACCTTGGTTTTCTTCTAGAATCACACCAGATAAAGTCTGCTCACAAGACTTCAGAAGATCAGCACACCAGCTGTCAATCATCGTCTGTGTAATAAAAAAAACACAGAAGTCTTTACGAGAATAATGAAGAGTTTAATCGACTCATGTCAGTATCACCACCATACTGGCAACTTCAACAACAACAACAACAACAACAACAACAACAACAACAAATCATTCTGTAGCGACGCCATTTTGTTTAGCAAAGCATGATAGGAGTTGACCTCCTCGTATTTTGTTATTCCGCTAAAATATTCCACTTAAATCGTTGTTGCATTTTCTTTGCAGTAATGAAAGTACAATGTATATTTAGCGATTTCTACAAAGAAAGCATAAAAACAAATTTTACGAAGATTTTTAAAAGGTTTTATAAAAATTTTGATATATAACGCGCGCTCTGATTGGCTGACGACCGTGTTTATATCAAAGGACAGAGACACGGCTTACTGGTAAAATTTGTTTTTCGCTTGAAAAACGCAGAAAAATTTTATAAAAGAACTATAAAACGGCCGCTTGTGTCGTTGTCTTCTGATATAAACACGGTGGGAGTTGAAAAGCACTCGAGAAGCAAGAAAAACACTCGCTTAGCTCATGTTTCTAAGCTTGCTTCTCTCGCGTTTTTCAACTCCCACCGTGTTTATATAAGATGGCAGAAACACGCGCGCCGTTTTTATTTCTAACTTCCATCATGCTTTGTTATACAAAATGGCGTCGCCCCACATTGTGCATAATTATTTAACTTACCTTTGCTTGGCGTTGTGATCTACACAGCTAAAAAACACAGGTAATCAGATGGCATGATTTCAAGGCAGAAAAGGGACCTTAAGGGAGATTATGGATGTTCACATAATTCCACTGGGCTAAGGAAGCAGTGCAATTATGTGAAAATCGTAAAATCCATAACTAAGATTTAAAGTATAAAAAGTGAAAATGTAAGTGGATCTTTACAAAATTTTGGTAATTAGCATAAAGTTTAAATTGAAAAACTGTAAAATAAGTTCCTAATGTAAAA